TGTCGATTGGCACGGCTTCACATTTTTGTTGAAGGGAAAGAAAAGAACAGAATAACAGAGTTGGAAGGGACTTTGGAGGTCTTCTAGTCCAACCCCCTGCTCAAGCAGGAGAACCATATACCATTCCAGACAAATGGCTATCTAGTCTCTTCTTAAAGACCAGTGTTGGAGCTATCTAGTCTCTTCTTAAAGACCAGTGTTGGAGCACCCCCAATTTCTGGAGGCAAGTCGTTCCACTGGTTACTTGTTCTCACTGTCAGGAAATGTCTCCTGAATTCTAGGTTGGTTCTCAATTAGTTTCAATCAATCAATCAATCAGAATACAGCTGGAAGGGAGCTTGGAGGAAAGCTAGTGCTGTAGGCTGGATTCTTGAGGCAAATGTTTCCTGATAAGATATTTAATGAAAGGAAGGAGAGATATTGTGAAGGTGTTAATCCTGGCAAGGTTAATACTAGCTATTGGACACGTTTCCTGCAGAATTTGGTGCACAGTTCTCATCTGAACTAAATTACACAGCCCACGATGCTTTAGCGCTGAAGCATTTTGGAGCCAAAGTCAGTTGCAACTTCCCCTGATCCTTGCTTCACAGGATCCAGAAGAGCCACCTTCTGTTTGCCTCTGCCCTGGGAAGGGAAGTTGAGGAGGGGTAAGGCGGGTGAGAAAGCAACCCAATCAAAACTTCCTCCAGTCATGTGAAGGATTTGACGTTGCTGTCTCCCTCCCTGCTCATCCCAACCGTGGGATTAAATCACATTCAATTTGGGCATGCTAGCTAGCTTCAAGCCGGAGGGATTCGTTGCGGTGTTGGTATTCCTTGGTTCGGAAGCCTGAGCAACCTTCTCCTTGTCTCTTGCAGAGATGCGTTGCAATCCCGGGCATTTCACTTGCCGCAGCGGTTCAGTCCAGTGCATCCCCTCGAAGTGGCAGTGCGACGGGTGGCCCACCTGTGAGGATGAAAGCGATGAAATTGGTTGCCCAAGTAAGTGCCCTGAAAGAGGAACCTAGAACGTAAAGCAGAGAACCCTAGGGCTGGGAAGAACCGTGGAGGTCTTCTAGCCCAGGGCTATTTCAACCAGCGGTACGGGTACCACCTGTGGTACATTGGCAACTGGCAGGTGGTACGCGACCATCCTAGAAAAGTTAGCCATGCCAGTCAGCTCTCCCTCCCCATTCCTCCCCAATTTTAATAAAGTTTCACTCTTATAGTCCTATTCTTGCTTTTTAACAAGAAACGTCCCCAGACCGAATAATGTCTGCAGAGCCTCTTCTGCTCCAAATGGCTGACCAAGGATTGTGTTTTCTGCCCTTTAGAGGCAGGAAATGTGAAAAGTTTACACAAGCTCCAAAGCAAGATTAATGGTGCTTTACAAGCCAAGAACTCCACACAAACTCAGAAAAACAAAGTCCCCTTTTCCAGTTGGTGTTTTGAACCCCACCCATTAAAATCGGTGGGTTTACCCCTACAAATGCTAAGTGTGGTCTTCAGCCTTGCCCACCTTTTCTCTAAAATCCAGCATAAAAACACTGAGATGAATCAAAGCTCTGCTTCCTATAAGTGCAGCTGAGTTATTGTTATTATTTAATTGCCTTTGACTGAAGCTGAAAAACCAGAATGTTGAGTGATATTGGCAGAGAAGAAGGCCGCAGAACAAAGTTTCATATAATCAGAGTGGCCAATAAAATTACATAAGAGGCATCTCTCTCCCTCTCCCTCTCCCTCTCTCTCTCTCTCTCTCTCTCTCTCTTTCTCCTTCTCCTTCTCCTTCTCCTCCTTCTCCTTCTCCTTCTTCTCCTTCTTCTTTTTTCATTGTCGGCTTGTGCTTGCTGACTTAGATTCTTGTTGTCGCCATCAGCCTTGTCTTCATTCACCTAATGGAGTCGGTTTTGGCAGCCCTGATTTCCATCTCGATTTGAACGAAAGCGTGGTTTTCTTGACGTTCCACAAAACGGTGTGCAATTGAAACGAACGAAAGCAGAAGGGCACGTGTGTGGCTCTAGCTGCGGGAAGTGACTCATTTTGCATGGAATGTATAAGAAGCCATCTCATCTTTGTTGTTCTGCACTTTTTCTAGAATCTCTTTTTTTATAGCTTTTTGGGTAATCTATACAAACTAAAGGAGACCATTGCTGTTGTTCTGGGGAAGTTGTGATATTCCAGAACGATGCTTTGTTGCCTGCGGTCGCTTCTCTTGTCGATAAGTGTAGTTCTTCATTGGCCTCCTTAGCGTCTGTTGGAGACCTAAATTTGCTGCCTTTCGTTACCTTTTCTCAGATGAGCCAGACTTTCAGTCGGTTTTCATGCAGGCTGCTTTGTTCGTTGTGCCTTTTTTTTCCTGCACCTCTTGCAAGCCAAAGAATTTAATCTACTCGGGGTCTTAACACAACCGTTGAGAGCTCCTTCTGACAGTTTCAATCTCCGGCACTCGTTTAACTCGCTGCTCCCAGCCTCGCTCTTTCTATATAACCTTTCTTAGGGTTGAGCGTCAAATTCCTTTACAATCTCTTGAGAGCCAAATTAAATCAAAGCCTTGGAACGACACAGCCTGTGGGGCCAGAAGAAGACCCTGGCCTTTGCATCAAACTCTCCTTCCCATCGCCCCCTCCCCATCGCCCCTCACCCAGCGGATTTCCAGATCTTTGATCTACTGCCCTGAGAGCAGGACGAACGGCATGCTTGGCATTGCTGCAAGGATTTATGCACCAAGCAGCCCTGGAAGGCTTCAGCCCCATGAAACGAGGCTCAACTGCTTTGGAGGAATGAATGGCTCAAAGGCCAGTTCCAGCAAGAACACCCAAGCTTCAAAGCCTCAAGGCTGTTGGGTATTGCCGCTGTGGGTGTGTGTTTTAGGAGTTTCTCAAGCCTTTTCTTCGGCAGTGGGAGGGAAGGGTTCCGTTTTGTGCTGACTTGGCAACCACACGTTTAGCTGCTGTGCGCCCACCTGCAGTCCAGCAGCCCCTGTTTAGAACCTCCTGCAGGGAAACAATTTGGCTAAAAGCGACATTTTTCTCTCTTGCAGCGTGTTGTGTAGAAGGGAGAGAAGCGGCCGTTAGGAAAAGATATTGTATGCAGTGCCCTGGGTTATTTAAAAGTAAATCAGTTCTTTTCTTCTTCTTCTTCTTCTTCTTCTTCTTCTTCTTCTTCTTCTTCTTCTTCTTCTTCTTCTTCTTCTTCTTCTTCTTCTTCTTCTTCTTCTTCTTCTTCTTCTTCTTCTTCTTCTTCTTCTTCTTCTTCTTCTTCTTCTTCTTCTTCTTCTTCTTCTTCTTCTTCTTCTTCTTCTTCTTCTTCTTCTTCTTCCTCTTCCTCTTCCTCTTCCTCTTCCTCTTCCTCTTCCTCTTCCTCTTCCTCTTCCTCTTCCTCTTCTTCCTCTTCGTCGTTTTGACTAAGCCAGAGTTGGTTGGCTTTACACAAAACTGTTAGGGCGACAGAGGACTGCAAACCACACCATAACAGCTCGGCATGACCTGCGATCTAGGGCTGTTGAAAATATGTTTGGAATCTGAAGTATTTTGAAATTTTAAAATGTTTTGCTTTTGAGCTTGGGGGTGTTTGGACTCTTTGAAGCCCTTCCAGAATAATTGAGAGAACCTGCTTCAACTTGAAGCAATTGTTTCAGCCTCCAAGGAGAACATCCCAACCTCAAAACATTCCCCTTTGGGATTTTTTTTTGTTTGTCTGTTCCTAGCATGAGCCCAGCTATAGGTCTTAAATTTGTTTTCCTCTGGAGCCCATGCTAGTTTGAAGCACATGTACTTATTAATAAAGGAGAATATTTGTAGCTCAGGGTTGACATGAGGGGTCCTTGGTGCTCTCTGAGCTTGGTGGTTTTCTTGAAGACATTTCATTATCCAAACTAGGTAACATCATCAGTGCTAGAAAGGAATGGGGTTTGGAGAAGGAGAAGCAGAAGCAGAAGCAGAAGGAAAAGGACTGTGGGGTCCTTGGTGCTCTCTGAGCTTGCTTCTTTTCTTGCAGATGTTTCATTAGCCAAACCAGGTAACACTATCAGTGCTAGAATACAGTGGACTAGCACTGAAGATGTTACCTAGTTTGGCTAATGAAACATCTGCAAGAAAACAAGCCAGCTCAGAGAGCACCACAGGTACTTAGGCATGCAATGCATATTTGCAGGTCCACATTTTTTGACCCCATTATCTGATTTCTTTCTGCTTAAAGGAAAAGAAACAACAGCAGAAGCTCTCTCAAAACCAAGCAAATATTTGTTAGATCCTCATTGATAATCAGATATCAAATTGAGAAAAAGCCAACACAGTCCTAGGCAGCATTAATAGAGGGATAGAATCAAGATCACGTGAAGGGTTAATACCACTTTATAATGCCTTGGAAAGACCACACTTGGAATATTGCATCCAGTTTTGCTTGCCATGATGTAAAAAAAGATGTTGAGACTCTGGAAAGAGTGCAGAGAAGAGCAACAAAGAGGATTAAGGGGCTGGAGGCTAAAACATATGAAGAACGGTTGCAGGAATTGGGAATGTCTAGCTTAATGAAAAGAAGGACTAGGCGTGACATGAGAGCAGTTGTCCAATATTTGAGGGGCTGCCACAAAGAAGGGGGGGGAGGGTCAACCTATTCTCCAAAGCACCCGAAGGTGGGACAAGAAACAATGGATGGAAATGAATCAAGGAGAGAATCAACCTAGAACTAAGGAGAAACTTCCTGACAGTTAATACAATCAGTGGAACAACTTGCCTCCAGAAGTTGTGGGTGCTCCAACACTGGAGGTTTTTAGGAAGAGATTGGACAACCACTTATCTGAAATGGTACAGGGTTTCCTGCTTGAGCAGAGGGTTGGACTAGAAAACCTCCAAGGTCCCTTCCAGCTCCTGCTATTCTGAGAAATTTAACACTGACTGTGGTCACCTCCATGAACTGTTATTAACACAATCCCATTTCCTCATTTCGGCAATTGATTGTGGAAATAAGATGGCATTCTCGTTTTGCAGGGTGCATGTAAATAAGTCAACCCAAACATCCCCTTTCTTGACACTTCCTATGGGGGGGGGATCATACTGGTTAGGGGCTTTTCAGTCATGCATTTAACTCTATTCCTCATTCTTTAGAAATGGTTTTGTTTTTAATTGTTGAGGTCTCCAGTCTTTCAGTTCTCCATCCCTGTGGAACAGTTTTTAGTTGGCTGCCCCTGAGCTAAATTTTGCGGGGTCATTTTTTTTGTGTGGATTATTATTTAATCTAAGGATAAACTGCCCACAAACCTCACTGTATCTCCCAGCTACTGTATCTCCCTTTAAAAAAACTCTGTCTCTGTGGAAGCTCTACTGAATTTATAATTAATTATTGTAACTATGATTATGGCCTATGACCTATTACTTGCTGTTTATATGTACACTGTGAGACAAATTCCTTGTGTGTCCAATCACATTGGCCAATAAAGAATTCTGTTCTGCTCTACTCTACTCTACTCTAGTCTCTACTCTACTCTACTCTACTCTACTCTACTCTACTCTACTCTACTCTACTCTACTCTACTCTACTCTACTCTACTCTATTCTATTCTGTAATTCTATTCCATTCCATTCCAATCCAATCCAATTCCATTCTCTAAAGTTTTTTTTTCCATTCTGTTTCTTCTTACATCACACTTGTTAGGATATTCACTCATCCATTGTGATTCAGAAGCCACTTTGCTCGGACCTCTTGGGAACTGAGTCACTATCTAGGTATCCTCTTGAACCTGGCCTTAATTACAGTCCTTTAACTTGACAGGGAGGCTATGGAAAGGATATGACAGTAGGGGCATGGCAGATTGTGTAACGATTGGGTCAGCAGCTTGTTCTGTTGTTAACATGAGTCTTGGGGAAGCTGAGCAGATCCCAAAGGAAGGCTCCACCTTGATGCAATGGCCAGCCATTGTCATTCAACTTCAAAAGCTTCAGTGACTCATAGACACTTAAAAACCCAACTAATCTTCCTTTTCTTCACAACAGTTTCTGTAAATAAAGTGAAGGGTAATCAGTGTCAACTATATTGTTCATGACCCACTTAATGGCCAGGTTTGGGCTGATTTGGTTTGCAGTGTTGAGCATAATGACTAAATCCGAGTTGAACCCTCCTTAAATGTTGGCTGGCTTTGTTTGAATTTAGAGTTTATTTCCAGGTTGGTAAAAGTGGTTCCAGAGTCCATCCATGTTTGCTTACCCTGGCGGGATTCTGCCTGTTGACTTACAGGCGGTCTTTGCTTTACAACCCAAAGTGAGCCCAACATTTCTGTTGCTAAGTGAGACGTTTGTTAAGTGAGTTTTGCCCTGTTTTACGACCTGCCTTGCCACAGTCGTTCAGAGAATCCCTGCCGTGGTTAAGTTGGGAACCCGGTGATTCTGATTTTTTCCCCGTTGACTTTGCTTGTCAGGAGGTCACCAAAGGGGATCCCCTGATCCTGCAAAGATCCTAAATATGAGTCAATTGCCAAGCATCTGAATTTTGATCACCTAACCACGTGTGAATCCTGCAACTGTCGTAAAGTGTGATAAACGGTCGTAAGTCACTTTGATTTGAACGGTCACTAAACAAACTGTTGTAACTCGAGGACGGCCTGTACAGTTTCTCAAGCTGAGAAAGGGCACAATAATTAACGTGACAAAGTCTGTCTCAAAACATTTCCTCTTAGGAATACCTCAACAAATACATAGATTGGCAGATTCTCTCTCTTCATTTAGGTCAACCTACCTCCACAGTCTTTGAAGTGCGCTCGCCCACTGGTTTGGAGCCCAACAATTTTGCTGACACCAGCAGAGTGATAAAAATTGTTTTAACATCCAGATAACAGTTTGCGTGTATCCCCTTTTATGTCCGTTATTATGGGCTACTAAGGAAAGCCAAGGTGTTTTAAAAGAACCCCGGTACAGAAGAAATAACACGGGCGAAATAATCTCACATTTCTTATCAAACAGAGAAGGGTAACCGTCAAAAGGACCAGCTGAATTGATCTAACCTTTGTATTTTGTCCACTTTCCAAGGCCCTTTTATGTATTTTCACGAATCAACACAAATCATAGGCCCATGGTGTCAACGCTGCTAACATCGGATGATTTTGCTTTGACAACATATGGGGATGCAACCATTTTCCTTCTTGTGTTTTACTCTTAGAATTAGAGTTAGAGTTAGATGATGTTGGTGGGAGGAATGTGCATGAGAGTTTAGCTAGACATAACAATACTGGACCTAGTGTGTGACCCAAGGTTATTGTAATAAGAGATGATAAGAATTGGCGGGCTGGAGAAAGGGAGGGAAAGCCTGCATTTCAAACTAATTGGAGAACGTGATTTATGACTATAAATTAGAGGAGGGAATTGTGCTTTGATACTATGTGCTCAGGGGAGGGGAATTCAGAGTTTGGCTTTGACTATGTACATGCCGATGCTATGCTACTCGAATAAAGATTCTTTAAGGTAAACAATGCCTCGAAGTTCTTTGAAGAGTTTCATCCGTCGGAACCATGACACATTGAGCATTTTAATAATAGATCATTCTAAATTAATTCTTTTCTGGGGAGGAACTAACGGTTAAATTAAATTGGGGTTAAATATGAAGAAGAAGAAAAAAAACCCAACCTCCTGCTCAACCTTGCTTACCTGAAGCCTCCTTTCCTTACCTTTCTCCTAGATTATACAGGGGACCAACGCATTTATCACGGGAAGGAAAATGTGGATTCCAGGCACAATCGTGGAAGAGGAGGGGACACGACACGCTTCCACACCATCAACATGGCACAGCCGGTTCGATTCAGTAGTAAGTTGCAGACTTGGAAACAAGAACTAGATCTTGAGGGCCTAAAGAAGAGCCTTGACGGACAGGGGGAAAAGAGCTTGTTACCAAGGCAACGCTCAGAGAAGAGGGGATTGAGCTTAGGCCAGTGGTGGCGAACCTATGGCACGGGTGCCAGAGGCGGCACTCAGAGCCCTCTCTATGGGCACGGGCACCGTCGCCCCATTCCTAGGCCTTCAGCTGGGTTTTATAAAACCTTTTCGCTTTAGGCCTCTGCTGCCGTGTGCAAAAAAAAAAAAAAAGGTTCAATCAATCAGTCAATTTCAACTTCTCGCGGGAAAAAAAAAGATCTTGCAAAGTTGGAATTGATTGAACTTTTTAGTCCCACTCAGTCTGCCGTTACCACCGCAGCCACGCCCACCCAATGGGCCACACCTCAATTGGCCACACCCAGCCAACGAACCACACCCACCCGGCACCTGACGATGCATAAGTGGGTTTTGGGTTGCAGTTTGGGCACTTGGTCTCTAAAAGGTTCGCCATCACTGGCTTAGGCCAAGAAAGTAATTTGAGAAGTCCCTCCCTAGTTTTCCTAGATAAAGCAAAGGGGAAGGCATGTTCAGACTGGGAAGACCCCATTACTACAGCTGCTACAATATAAGCCATCCTGACCTAGATGGCATTGGCTTCTTAGTTTGGATCACTTGGTTGGTAGTCCAAACTTCCTCATTATCAGGGTGGGCCTTTGGTTTAGGGCAGAAGTGTCCCAAGCTTGGCAATGTTTAAGACTTGTGGACTTCAACTGCCAGTGGGGAATTCTGGGAGTTGAAGTCCACAAGTCTTAAACGTTGCCAAGGATGGATATCTTTGGTCTAGGGGTAGGGGTCTAGGGGTAGGCAATGGGTGGTCCACTTTTTTTGTGGATTGAGACTGTACTCCACACTCGGATAGAATCGGCAGTACAGTCGCCAAAGGGCTGATGTAAAAGTGGGGGGAAAGGATAGCAAATATGGACGGGTAGTCCTCATTTAGCGACTGCCTCATTTAGCGATATTTGCAGTTACACGGCTGATGAAAAACTAATTGGCTAACCGGAACTCACATTTACGACCTTTGCAGGTCCCGTAAAGCAAAGGAAAGCTGATGCACGACATAAACCTTTGACCTTAATGACCACTTTGCTTCACCACCAAGTTGCTGGTTGCAGCTGTGGTTGCTAAACCATAAATACATACACCCTGCCTGTATGCATGTGTGTTATTTACTCAATTTATACAGCGGTGTATCCTGCCTCTAGATAAGAAGACGCTGCTTCTGACTTTTGTGATCAGAGGAACTTGGGAAGGCTGTACTAAAGATACTTTGGGGGGGAGGTCAAATTGAGAGGTCTCAGTGAACATTACTTATTTTGTACAGTACTTGCATTAAACGAAACCTCAAAAGGAAGCGATTCCAATTAACTTTTCTTAGCAAGATAATTGCACAGCGAACTGTTCTTGCTGTTCATTCTTTTAAGGCTGCAGATAAATCCCCCTTTTTTATAGTGTAAAAGCTAATGCAGCTTGGCCTGTCTCCAAAAGATATCGCAAGCCATTTTCTTCCTTGTGCCTAAAATAAGCAGAAAATAATGTCTTCAAACGAGAACATCCGCCTCAATCCGATTAGCGGAGGCAGAACAATAGGTAGAAGGAAAGGGTAATGGACTCACGGATGTAGAAGCTGCTCTGGATTCTGAATGGAGACTCAACCCGAAGGCCAACGATTTAAAAAACAAAAAAATCTATTTGCATGGGGGGGGGGGGTGTTGCTTAAAAAGAACCTTGCATTTAAAAAATAATAATAATAGACATGCGGAAAGGTAATTGAATCAAACCATTGATCCATCCATCCAGTTCGATGCTTGACTCAGCCGAGGGTCAGCAGCTCTCTTGATTGCTGTACACCGTGATCCGGTGGGGCCTTGCCTGCAATTAAACCAGCAATATTGGTGCACAAAAATGAAGGACTGGTTTTAATTGGCCAGGAAAGATAAGATGGGCAGCCGTTGTCTTGCAACAGCCTTGCCTCGTCAGAGATAATTCCAAATAGAATCTGCATGTTTTGCATTTTAAATCTAGACCTTTTCATTTCAGGCATGGTCGATTTTTTATTTTTTTTTGAATATAGGCAGTTTTAGAATGACGTTGTGTACAGGAAAAGCCTTCTTCTAAATCTCTTTCTTTGCTAGATTTGAACTAAGCCTAGTGCAGAGTTTCTCAAGTTGGGCAGCGTTAAGGTGGCTGGGACTTCAACTCCCAGAATTCCCCAGCCAGCCTGTTGAAGTTGAAGTCGACCCATCTTAAAGTGGCCACGGTTGAGAAATTCTGGCCCGATGTCTTTCGGAATGGCTAAAAACATGCTTTTTTTCTTCTTCTTCTTTTGGATGTGTTGAGGTCCTAACTGGGTGGGGAATTGTTTTCCCTTCTCTCTTTCATGTTTCCTAGGGAAATGCCCATCAGGGTGGCACCACTACGAGGGCACCGCCAGTTGCTACAGGGTGTACCTGAATGGAGAGAACTACTGGGATGCTGTACAAACGTGTCAGAAGGTGAATGCTTCCTTGGCCACCTTCACCACCGACCAGGAGCTGAAGTTCATTTTGCAGCAAGAGTGGGACTCTGAGGAGAAGAGCTTTGGCCGGAAGGATCAACGCCGGTGAGTGTGCACGGCATCACATTCAGCATTTCATTTTTGGGGGAGGGGGGAAAACACCCCACTTCTTCTTTTGGATTTGGGATGGGTGTGTTTCATCCCTTGGAGAGGAATTCCAGGGTTCCCTTGGAGATGTTGAGGTTGACTTCCAGAGCTGCTGTTGTCAATGCCTGCATCCTGTTTGTCAACATCAAATTTAATAATAATAATAATAATAATAATAATAATAATAATAATAGTAGTAGTAGTAGTAGTAGTAGTAATAATAATAATAATAATAATAATAAAGTTGGAAGGGACCTTGGAGGTCATCGAGTCCAACCCCCTGCCCAGGCAGGAACCCTACACCATTTCAGACAAACGGCTGTCCAGTCTCTTCTTAAAAACTTCCAGTGTTGGAGCATTCACCGCTTCTGGAGGCAGGTTGTTCCACTGGTTAATTGTTCTAACTATCAGGAAGTTTCTCCTTAGTTCTAGGTTGCTTCTCTCCTTGATTAGTTTCCATCCATTGCTTCTTGTCCTGCCTTCAGGCGCTTTGGAGAATAGATTGACTCCCTCTTCTTTGGGGCAGCCCCTGGGATATTGGAACACTGCTATCATGTCCCCCCTCGTCCTTCTCTTCATTTTGTCAGCTGCCACCTTATGCTTGCTTGTTCTTTGCTGCTATGTGGTGACAGACTGTCATGAATGGTGGGAAGAGGGAATGAAGGGGGGAATGCTTGGGGAAATGGAAGTAAATTCTGTATCTCCTCCAGATGCTGCCTCAAGGTCACCCAGCTGGAAGAAGGAGGGGACTGCCTAAAAAAAAACACCTTGCATGAACCTGATTGGTTACATTGGGGTGGGCAATGAGAGATATTTTAGGGAGGGAAAAATAGAACTTGGGAATGTCGGCATCTGATTCTCAATCCTGGCTTTGCAATACTGCAATACATTTGATCTCGAATAAACAATAGTTTGTCCAGAAATGGAGCCAAGGATTGTTTCTATTTAGAGGTTTAAGTTGGGGCAGGTTCGACACAAACCTCGAACAGGTTTAATTTTGCCCTCCTCACCCTTGAAGTCATTTTTTAGCATTGAGCAGTGGGTCAAATATATTTATCTCCTCTGTTACACCAGAGAAGAGTTTGGATATAACAATGAACCTTTGGTGCTTATTTCGCCACATTTCGAACCTGTTTCTCATGTTATTTCTGTTTTTAAAATTTGCATCAACTTTCCAATGCAGTCTTATCGTCGTTGAAGTTTACAATGTCTTCCCCCCCCCCCTAAATTTCCAACTGAAGGTTTTGGGTTGGGTACCAGTTTGTCATCACCAACCGAAACAATTCCCTCGAAGGCCACTGGGAAGTTGCTTATAAAGGTAAGTTTAAAAATCTGAAATCTTTCTTCTCCTTAAAACTAAAATTAGAACCTTGTTCCTGCCATTTGAATACACTTTTATGTCTCCTCGTATATTGAATAATTTCCTATTTCTGTTACATAAAGCATTAAGTAACCTGGTATTAGCTTTGAGGGACGGGAAGACACACCCAAGATTTCCAGGGAAAAAACTGAAGCTATAAACTTTAGGGGGAGTGAGTTATAAAAATGTGTACACTTAAGGAAGTATGTATAAGAATATTTTGCCCACTAGGGGAAATGCCAGGCTTCCTAACGCAGAAACCAAATGCAAACTAGTTAATGTATCCTTGATTGGGCTCCTTGGTTTTCTCTGAGCTTGGTTGCAGACATTTCATTACCCAGCTAGATAACATCTTCAGTGCTGGGAGTCGGCTGTGCGGAATGGAGGAGGCAGTAGAGAAGGAGGACGACTACGGGGTCCTTAGTGCTCTCTGAAATTCATTGTTTTCTTGCAGACATTTCATTACCCAACTAGGTAACATCATCAGTGCTGCAAGGGAGGGAGATTTGATCTCTGCTTGTAACTCCCTTCTAACTCGGATGACGCTCCCTAGTTGGGTCATGAAACGTCTGCAAGAAAACCACCAAGCTCAGAGAGCACCAGGGACCCTCATTTCAACCCTGATCTACTAATATTCTCTTCTGTTGGTACCAATAATAAGTGTCAGGCTTAAGAGCCAAGAACAACACAAGGAATTCCTTCAGAGTAGTTATTGTTTCTGGCCTATTGACAGGAACCAGGTTAAAGCTCAAATCTGCATGACTATTAAATAAATCCTGTGTAAGGTTAGGGAGGGTCCACCCTGGCTCTCTTCCTGTATACCAGATATTCCTGGCTGAGCCACCTCTTTGCTCCTTTCAAAAGATTCCTTCCTTCCTTCCTTCCTTCCTTCCTTCCTTCCTTCCTTCCTTCCTTCCTTCCTTCCTTCCTTCCTTCCTTCCTTCCTTCCTTCCTTCCTTCCTTCCTTCCTTCCTTCTTCTCCTTCCTTCCTTCCTTCCACACACACCCTATAGCCCTGGCCGTTCTCCCACCACATTGAGGAAAGTGAGAAACCGAATCAAAGCAGCCTGGATCCATTTGTTTAGCTTTTAAGTATTTTTCCAGCATACGCCCAAAACGGATGGCACCGCAGAGCGTGACCCCAATCCTCTCTTCCTCTCTTTTGTCATTTCAGGATCGTCCGAAGTATTTCTTCCTCCTAACCCTACTTTCAGCACATCTCTCTCTGAAAATGAAAACATCCTCTGTGCCCAATTTCAGTGCTCCCATTTCCCGATTCTCCGGCACCACGGTTTTCACAGCTGGTACGCCGAGAACTGCTACGAAAAATCCTCCTTTCTTTGCAAAAGAAGTAAGTCCCCCCCCAATTGATAAACCCGCTGGATCAATTTTGGAACACCTCTGAAGAGAATTGGCCAAAATAAAGATGGCTTTTTCCTTCCCCTCCCTCTCTCCGTTCCAGGCCAGACGTGCGTGGATATCAAAGATAACATTGTCGACGAAGGCTACAATTTCACCCCTAAAGGGGACGACCCCTGCTTAAGTTGCACATGTCACAATGGCGAGCCGGAGATGTGCGTGGCGGCCTTGTGCGAGCGACCACAGGGCTGTCAGCATTACCTAAAGGATCCCAAGGAATGCTGCAAATTTACCTGCTCAGATCCTGGTAGGTCTGGCTTCTCTCAAAATCCAATCTTTATTGCTGTTATAAAGAGCATAAAAGGGGTAAAGTGCAAAGTGTTAGCAGTTTTAAAGCCTAAAATGAATAAAATAGAGGGAGTTAAAAAAAACTAACATAAAACTAATGCTGAGGGAGTCAGCGTTGTCTGAAGATACTTCCACGGTCATGTGGCCAGCAGGATAAATAAATATACATAAAAAGCGAGCCAGTTTGGTCTAGTGGTGAAGGCACCAGGCCAGGAGCTGGGAGTTGGTGAGTTCTAGTCCTGCCTTAGCCTGAAAGCTGGTTGGGTGACTGGGCCAATCATCAAGAGATGTTGAATTCTAGTCCTACTTTAGGCATGAAAACTGGTTGGGTCATTTTGGGCCAATCACCAGGAGGTGGTGAATTCTAGTCCCACCTTAGCCACGAAAGCCGGCTGGGTTACTTTGGGCCAATCACCAGGAGACTGAGTTCTAGTCCCACCTTAGCCATGAAAGTTGGTTGGGAGACTTTGGGCCAATCATCAAGAGATGTTGAGTTCTACTACTACTTTCGGCATGAAAGCTGGTTGGGTCACTTTGGGCCAGTCACCAGGAGACTGGGAATTCTAGTCCTGCCTTAGGCATGACAACTCAAGGTTGTGGTCTTCCCTCACTTCCCCCCTTGCAGACGGCAACAGTTTGTTCGATTCCATGGCCAGTGGCATGCGCCTCATCGTCAGCTGCGTCTCTTCCTTCCTCATTTTGTCCCTCCTGCTCTTCATGGTTCACCGGCTGCGACAGAGACGCCGGGAGCGCATCGAGTCCTTGATTGGAGCCAACCGTAAGTGTGGGTCACACCTTCTCCGAAGGGCACACGGGAAAGTCCCTTCCAGCTCCCATTCTATTCTATTCTATTCTATTCTATTCTATTCTATTCTATTCTATTCTATTCTATTCTATTCTATTCTATTCTATTCTGTAATTCTATTCTATTCTATTCTATTCTATTATTCTATTCTATTCTTTTCTATTCTATTCTTTTCTATTCTATTCTTTTCTTTTCTATTCTGTAATTCTATTCTATTCTATTCTATTCTATTCTATTCTATTCTATTCTATTCTATTCTATTCTATTCTGTAATTCTATTCTATTCTATTCTACTTCTATTCTGCTTAATTCTATTCTATTCTACTCTACTCTACTCTACTGTATTCTATTATTCCATTACCTTCCCTTCCCTTCCCTTCCCTTCCCTTCCCTTTCCCTTCCTTCCTTCCTTCCTTCCTTCCTTCCTTCCTTCCTTCCTTCCTTCCTTCCTTCCTTCCTTCCTTCCTTCCTTCCTTCCTTCCTTCCTTCCTTCCTTCCTTCCTTCCTTCCTTCCTTCCTTCCTTCCTTCCTTCCTTCCTTCCTTCCTTCTGATGGTATAGGTTCTCCTGCTTCAGCAGGGGCTGGACTAGAAGACCTCCAAAGTCCCTTCCAGCTCTGTTCTGGTAAAACACCTGTCTTCCTTAATCCCGTGCAGTTTTCTACTGACACAGGAGAAACTTGATTTAAATGGGGGGGGGACCTAAAGCTAAAGAGCAAAAGCGCCACGATTCCGCTTTAAACTGGATGCTTTGTGTGCAGAATGAATGAAACGATGAAAGCGTGACAATGATGGTGTCCACGGGTCTTTTCCTATCCCTGCTTCCCCTTTCACAGTGCACCACTTTAACCTGGGCCGAAGGATGCCTGGTTTCGATTACGGCCCAGACGGCTTTGGAACCGGACTCACGCCACTGCACCTCTCTGACGACGGAGAAGGCGGGGCCTTTCACTTCCACGACCCACCTCCACCCTACACCGCGTACAAATACCCGGACATCCAACACCCAGACGACCCACCGCCACCTTACGAAGCGTCCATCAGCCCAGACAATATTCTCTGTTCTCTGCCAGGTATCTTTATCTGAATTCTTGCCCAAGGGCCGTCTCGTTGACCTCGGCTTCAGCCTTTCCCATTCAGGTCTCAGTAAAGGGTGACGTGACATCTTTGGTGCTCTCTGAGCTTGGCTGCTTTCTAGCAAATGTTTCGGTGCTGAACTAGATAACTTCCATCTGTGCTAGAAAGGAGTGGGATTTGCGGAGTGGTGGTGGTGGTGGTGGAGGAGGAGGGCTGTGGTGTCCTTGGTGCTCTCTGAGCTTGGTGGCTTTCTTGCAGACATTTCATTACCTAACTAGGTTACACGATCAGTGCTAGAAGGGAATGTGATTTGCAGAATGGAGTGGGAGGAGGAGGAGGACTTTAGGGTCCTTGGTGTTCTCTGAGCTTGGCTTTCTTGCAGACATTATCTAGACATCAGTGTCAGTCAGGAGTAGGATTTGATCTCCGTTTATATTCTAGTGGCTTGCCCCGTCAATGTTGGTGAGATATATAAACAGAGACCAAGTCCAACTCTCTTCTAGCACTGATGATGTTACCTGGTTGGGTAATGAAATGTCTGCAAGAAAGCAACCAAGCTCAGAGAGCACCAAGGACCCCATAATCTTCCTCCTCCTCCTCCTCCTCCTCCTCCTCCTCCTCCTCCCATCTAGTACTGGTGATGTTACCTAGTTGGGTCATGAAACATCTGCAAGAAATCAACCAAGCTCGGGGAGGACCAAGGACTCCTCATTTTAACCCTGAGCTGTTCTCCTTTAGACCACTCTTCCCCCCCCCCCCACTCCTGATGAAATGCCAAAATTTCAGCAACGGTGCTACGGGCTGGGGAGTTGGAAACCCACGTATCTGGGGCTGACTCGTGCAATCCCAGGACCCCAATCTTATCAAAGTAAGCGGTAACGATCTGGAAGCAGCTAATGACCTAATAGCAGGAATGCGTTGATTTGGGCTTGATTTTTTTTTGTCCTTTCCTTTCCCTTCCTAGACGGGGTCCATTCTCAGATGGGGCCTAACACTCAGCTGTCCTTAGGGAACGCCGACACCTCTTTGCCGCTGCCCGACGAGCCTCTCCCTCCTTCCGTCGGCCCGTCCCCCTTGGACCTTGAAAACTCTGCAGACAGTAGCACCCTCCTTGTCCTCCCAGACACTCCTTTAAGCGAAAGCACGCTCTCGGAGAGCCTCGGTGGCCACCGCCACAGCCACTGTTCTCAAAATACCATGGTATAAAGGAAACACAATCAAAACAAGAGACACCCCCCCTCTCTCTTAACTGCCAGCCAGCCAGCATTAAATGCCGGGCCACTGTTTGCCCGTCCGATGTACGAGGGGGATTCTGAATTCACAGACTGAAGTGGAAAAATAAAACTCCCCCTGTCTGGCTTTTTCAGATTCTCCTTTGAGTTTAGAATTGTAACATGTCAGCCCAGGCAGTCCTTTTTCCATTCTTACCTTCTCCTCTTCAGAAGAAGAAGAAGAAGAATCAAGTTGTAAAAACACTCTTTGTTTGTTTTTCTATGGAAAAAAGAGCAGAAGACGTGGAGTTTTTAATTTCTTCTTTTTTTTTTTTTAAAGCGGAGGAAAATTATGGATAGATTTTTGGGGGGCGAGGGTGGAAAGGGGATCCTCCATCTCGCCACCCTGTAAAATCACGGAGGATAAAGACCACGCGGTGTAGGAACTTCTGTAATGCCAGGGCGTTAGGAACTTCCAGAATATGGCTGCTCGCTGTTGACTCTCTTGCTTTAACCAGTCTTCGGTTAATTGTCAAGTACACAAGACTAGAAGTTGGGTTCTTCCTGAACAGGACCATCATCCTTTGAAATGTGAGCCCAAGGAGAAAGAGATGGGCAAGTGGGTCCATCAAGTCTTCATCTTCATGTGGCTTCCAGTCCAGGTTGCAAAGAAGAACGCTACGAGTTGATCAAATGCTTGTTTATTTCCTGGAAGTAAGCATCGAGGTTCGAGTCAGATCCGGTTGCTTCGCCGTAACACAGTTTAATACTTAACTGGGTCTTTTCAACTCAGTGAACTTGTATATGAGATTTCCCCCTCCTGGCTTTCTCTACTATAAATCGGGGTGTTGAGGTTTTGGGGGACTGAGTTGGTGTGGGGATAATAGAATTTCCAAGTTGGGGGGGGAAACAATGTGATTGGACCAATCAGTCCACCTTCGATGGGCTCTTTCCCTGTTCATTTTGCTTTTTTCATTCTCCATAGTTAGATGTCAAGCTTTCTTTATCCTGCAGGATTCATCCGACGCCTTATATTTTAACAGGAGACATTGGGGTCAGGAAAACAAAAACAAAAAACCGTGCAGACTCTCAGTGGCCTCACACACCTTAATGAAAGCTGTCCCATTGATCCTCTTGACACATTTGGAGTTTGGGGATTTGGACCTGTTTGGAGATGGGTGAAGGTGGATGCCCTCAGTGGTTCTTGAATCTCTGAGGAGGACATCTGGAAGGCACAGGGGTCTGCCCCCCTAGAGCTTCCACTCGCCTTCCCCACCGAGGGATCTTGCTGAGAACTTGTAAATGCTGAGTTGATTGCAACTGTAGCCAAGGAGTTCTTGATCCATCGCTGGCCTCTTGCCTCCTACGTAAGCTGCCCAGGTTCAGCTAGCAGAAACTTTACTTCCAGTCCTTCATTTGTGTGTTCCTGTTGTCTTATGAAAGGCAGGAAGCCTAGAGGGACAGGAGAAACACAACTCATGGTTCTATACTTAAATGTATCAGGGTGCCTTCTCATTTCAACCCCTTTTCTCCTCCTCCTCCTTCTGCAGTTGCTATCTATCCCAGTCTAATATTGATGGTAGGTTAGCTTTTGGGCCATTTTAGAAGAAGAGAGTTCTAGCTTGGCCAATTAACACTCCAGGTGTCCTCGCAGAAGGCCGCCGATTTAATCTTCCACGTGTCCAGCGATCGCTTGGGAAGACCCCCACCCTGAAACCTTGAAAGGCAGGGATCGCCCCTTCGTTGTAGGCTTCATTGACCTTGATGTGACTCAGTAGAAAGGAAACTCAATTCTGCTTACGTTGGTTGGGGATAATTTGCTTGCAAACAATCACAAATCCATTAGAATCTCATTTTACGGTGCCACAATCGTGCAGCTAGGCCGTTGCCTCTAGACCCTGCTTTCCCATGGAAGCTGTGGTAGATACAGCTGAGGTAGAACTCCACAATTCTGCTTTCCTGACCTCTTAGCTCTTGCCCCAAGGATTTGGAAGTCTGGTTTCAAAAAAGCGGGTCTTCCCACCAACCTCAGAGGCACTAAGCAACGTCTGGAGTGGCCCACAACAATTTTGCCCAGAATGAGCCAGACAGAGGAGTGTGGAAATGGCCACAGGACACTGGAGGGAAAACACAAGTCTTGTGGATTTGTCTCTCCCTCCCACTCTTGACTTCCTTTCCTGCCTCCCGGCTTTCTCAGCCTCGTAACGAAGCAGCATTTTCTCTCCTTCCCAAAGTCTGGGGTCAGGATTGTGGATCCAGGGCAGATACTGAGTGTTTCTGAATTATGGGAAGAAGAAAAGAAAAGAAAAAGAAATAAAAAGCGGGTTTTGTGTGTTTTTAGCACACTCATCAGTTTTATACATTGTAGGTACTGACTTCTTTGGTTTTATATATGTAAAGTGTGAATGGGCTTGGGTGATTGAGAGTTTGTGATAAATGTTTTTCAACCTCGGCAACTGGTGAGGACTTTGACTCCCAGATTGCCCAGCCCGGGGGATTCTGGGAGTTGAAGTCCTCAGCTCTTAAAGTTGCCAAGATGGAGAGACACTGGTTGATGATCTTGAGCAAAACCCAAGAGCGACACGAGATTGGAAACTGATGGCCAAAGTTACACGCCCATGTAAAAAGATAAGAATTTGGGGGAAAAAAATAGGCTAGAATTAGTGGTACTGTTTATATATAAAGGGTTTGCCATTTCAAAACATAACAGTACCACTAGTTCTAGCCTATATAAATCTTTTTCCCTGAAATCAATTACACACCAGGTTATTCTTTGATTCATTGTCACTTCTGCACCACTTCAGCGTGAGCGTCGAAATAAAATTTTAAAATGCTTCCTGCACCCTCCCACAGAGATGGTTGGGGTAGGGTTCACACCGCACTCGGTCAATTTGCTGGTGCCCACTTGCCATTTCTTACCCTAAAGCAAATCTTTAAAAGGTCCTTTTCCATCTTAACAAACTTCATTTGACAAAATGTCCTTTGGTATTTGACGTCAGCTTCCTAGAGAAGACATTTCTCGGTGTGTCTTTTGGTTTCTTGTTTTGTTCTGCTTTTAGCTGAGGGCACTTAGCAGTTTAGAGGTCAGGACTCCCCCCTCAGTAAAACCTGGTTGTTTGGCCTGAACATATTTTTTTGAAAAGCATTGCTGGGTTGAATCTGCCTTGTTTGTTGCACCCTCAAATGGGCCAGATACCTTAATAAACGAGATAAGATGATGGCACGGACGTTGGAGAGCCGTGGTTAAAGTTCACCATTCATTTCAACCAGACTGGTACAGGTGGAGAGGGAGGAGGATCCGATTGTCCAATTTCCAAGTATCAGGGAAAAATTGACTCAATTACATTTTAACTAGGGGGGTGCAGGTAGAGAAGAAGGAAGACGGGATTGTCCAACTTGCAAGTATCAGGAGAAATGGACTAAATTTCATTTCAACCAGACTGGTCCAAGTGGAGAAGAAGTAGGATGGATTGTCCAACTTCTGAGGATCAGGAGAAATGGACTAAATTTCATTTCAACCAGACTGGTCCAGGTGGAGAAGAAGTAGGATGGATTGTCCAACTTCTGAGGATCAGGAGAAATGGACTAAATTTCATTGCAACCGGACTGGTCCAGGTGGAGAAGAAGTAGGATGGATTGTCCAACTTCTGAGGATCAGGAGAAATGGACTAAATTTCATTTCAACCGGACTGGTCCAGGTGGAGAAGAAGTAGAATGGATTGTCCAACTTCCAAGCATCATGAGAAGTGAAGTAAATCACTAGTATTTGGTGGAGAAACCACTGTTTGCTTGTTCAGTCCCTCCACTGTTCATTATTTTCATTCCCACACCCCCCAAAAAATCAAATAGCTTGTTGAAAATCCCTTCTTCCTTCAAGGCCGTAGCAGGAAAGATAGAATTGGGAAAATCTGGGGTCAGCCATTGGGGGTCAAACAAACACGGAGCTCTACATATCTGGACTCAAAGGTAAGGCCCGCTGGGTGTGTCCAGCAAAGGGGATGCCCAATTTTGTGTACGTTTGGGAAGGGCGATGGGTGTGTACGTGTGAGCGAGTGTGCCAATCAGCGAATCACTGCTTTTTATTTCGTTTGGGAAGACAATGTTTGGTTGAATTTGCCAGTCTGTTGTGGTGTCGGTTTGTGGCTGAATTGAACTGTGGCATGTGTGTGGAAAAAAAACAATAATAATAATAAAGGGGTGGGGGGAGAAAAAAAAAATCAAAAAGATTTTGATATTTCACGGAACGGTACATAGAAATGAAATTTGATACTGTAATAGGTTGGTCCCTGTGACATTTTATGTTCTAATATTTTGATTTTTTTTAAAAAAGTTTTTATTTCGGGGAAGGGGTGGAGAAGGGCGGGCTTTAGGGACACTAATCTTTTTTTTTTTTTCCAAGATGCTGTGAGAGACATTCCATCTAGATGCCAAATAAATTGTGTTTTGTTGAGAGGAACCGGCCTTCAACTTTTGTGTGTGTTTATTCTAAAGGGAGAAGGTGAACGCTCACCAATTCTAATATGGATTATTAAAAGATTGTTTTACATGTCAAAATTGCAGATGTCTCTGCCAGATGTCTCTGATTTCTGTTCCAGAATGGACAGTCCTGGACAAAATAGGCAAGAAATCTGAACCTGCTATCAAGCAATTACCTAATTTCCTCTTAAATGGAACTGGACACAATTTTAATTGAGGTAAAAAAATTTCTACCTTGGAGAGCTCCTGCAATACCCTTGTTCTGACTGCAGAGGGCAGTCGTTCCAAATATATTCTTAAGTCACAAATAAATGCTTAAGGTTTCAAAAAATCCCTGAAAAGAAACATAGAAATGAAATAAACATGGCAGATTTTTCACCTAAAGTAGCCTTGGGATTATGGAGCCGAGAGTCAGAGATGGGAAGGAAATTAAGGGATGTAAAGGAATTTGGAATTCGCCTTGAATGAAACCGGAGAAGGAGCGAACAGGAGGGATTTGGGGAAGACATTAAATGTCTGATGACGGAAGGGTGAGGAAGAACGTCAAGCAACCCCTC